TGTGGGGCCTGCGGCCCTTGGGGAGGCCTGCCCAGCCTCTCCGAGCCCTGGGGGCCTTGTCTATACTGTGGGCATCATGATAGGGCCCGCCTTGTGGGGATGTTAGTACGAAGTGGGATTTGAACACAAGCCTGCCTAATCCCACAGCCTGGCTCTTAACTAATGAGGCAAATTATGTGCCTCAAAGCCAAAGCAAACAAATAAAAATGTGGGCAAAATCTCCATTCCTCTCCTCTCACCTGACAAGCAGGTGGAGGCTGGCACCTGCGACCCAGGTGCACCCACAGCTCTGCGGCCCCGTGCTCCTCTCCTCTCAACTGACAAGCAGGTGGAAGCTGGCACCCGCGGCCCAGGTGCACCCACAGCTCTGCGGCCCCGTGCACATCTCCGAGGCGGGCGTGGCCCACACCTGCACTGTCTATTCTGACACTCGGGGACAGGGGAAAGAGGACTGCAGCCTCCAGGTCTGAGAGCTCATCATGCCCGCTCAGCTCTGCCACACGCTAGCTATGGCACCTTGGGCAAGTCGTCTCCTCTCGGAACCTCAGTTTTCCCTTCTGTGAACTAGGTTTCAAAAATGGTGGTTGAGGGGAACCAGCAGTTAGTGTAATGGCTGTGGCTGACTCCCACTCGTGTGCTTCAAGTCCCAAATTAAAACCACAATCAAAAGCCCAATTACAGCATCTATGATGACGAGATGTGGATGTGATAAAACCTAAAAAGCACAAGTCACGTGGACAGGCAGCTGATAAACCTCACACTCTGGATCTGGATGTCCTTGGTTCAAGTCCGGGCTCGACCACTTCTGGCTGCGCCTCGTCCTTTCTCTGTGGAACGGGAATAACGACGCCATCACACAGGGCTGCTGTGGGGTGCGAGGAGATCAGAGCACCAGCTTCACAGGTTCATCTCCTGCACTGGTGACGCAGGTCAGCCGTGGGTGGCTCTGCTGGGAAGACTGTCATGAGCCTGGCTCGTCTTGAGCTGTCCTCTGGGCTGTGACCTCTGACCTCCTGCACTCTCGCCCCTTCCTGTGATACCTGTTTAGCACAGGTAGGAGCAACTGGATGGGCCTGGATGGAGGCCCCCAGGCGGGGACAGGGCTCTGGGTGTGAGGACTTACACCTGCATCCCCTGCCCCAGGCTCTGAGCCCACAGCCCTTCCCAGGAACCTGGTGGGACACCAGCTGCTACCTCTGGCATGGACGGCCATCTGGGGGTCTGAGGGCAGCTCCAGGGCAGAGAAGGGCCCACGCAGGGACCTGGTGGGGAGGGGCTGAGCCCTGGGCCGCATACCGTGGGTGCTGACTCATGGCCTGGCTGGGCGGTATAAAGGAAGCAGCTCAGGGGCTTCCTGCAGCTGGAGGCACCAGCTGGCCGGATGATGGCCCAGGGGACAGTGATCCGTGTGGCCCCAAAGCAGCCCACCCACGCCGTGTGTGTGCTGGGGACCTCCACTCAGCTCGATGTCCTCAGGTGAGAGGGGCCTTCTGCGAACGTGGGGCAGGCCGGGTGGTGCTGGGCGAGCTGGTTCTGCTGACACGGGAGGAGCCTGGCTTAGGCTCCAGGCTCCGCGCTCTGTAGCTGCTGCCAGGAGCGCGGCTGGAGAGACGAAACGCCGACAGCCCTGGGAGGTGCCCGGTTCACGTCAGTGCATGCGCTCTGGACCTCGCCACAAATGAGTTAGGGCCAGTGGGGCTGGCATCCTCGCTCTCAAGGCAACAGACGCCGGGCGTTGGGGTGGGGGTGGGGGGTCTGTGACTCACCTGAGGTCACACAGCAGGTGTGCCCTGGGAGCAAGGCTAGACCTGGGCTTTTCCTACACGTGACCTTAGCTGAAAGGCTAAGAAGCCATTCGTGACCCACACCTGGTTCACAGTACGGTTCGTTACCCCACACCTCTCAGCACAGCCTCCCCAGTGGTGCGCCATAGCGTGGGGATGACGAGACAGGCCCTCGGCATGGGGGACACTGAGGCGGGAAACTTGGTCCTGCTAGTGACCAGCCGGGCGGCTTTGGGCAATGGAGCCCCAGTGTCCTCATCTGTGCAATGGGTATAATTCCCACTTCATGGGGACTGAACGTGGAAGAGTGTGAAAGTGTTTGTTAAGTACTCAGCACAGCGCTGGACTTACCCCTGGTCATCATTCATCCATTCATTCAGCCAATACCAACTGAGTGCCCGTGCATGCCAAGCCCTGTGCCAGGCTCTGAGTTTAGCATGAGGCATGGTTATCATTGTCATTGCTGTTTTCAGCAGTCGGTGGCAGCCCCTGCTTCCCCCACCCGGACTGGGCATTGTGGGCTGGAATGGGGCCCATGGGAGGGTCTGGGACATTCCTTGAAAGCTCACTTGCTCCCTGAACCTCAGAAGCAGGAGAATGGCTGTAAATGCCTGAGCATCCTCCCAGGGCTGGGAGAGGAGGGCAGAGACCGAGAAGTCGAGAGATGGAAAGATGGTGGTGGGAGTAGAGGAAACAAGAGGGCGGGCTAGCCCAGGGCCCCTCCAGCATGCCCGGCCAGCCCTCTACCCAGTTCTGAAGAGTGGTGGGCCCGGGTCACGTTCCTTGCCCTGGAGAGCTGGGTGGGGAGTGGACGAGGGCTGGACCAAGGTGTTTCCCAGACAGGCTGGGGGCTCCCAAGCTCCCAGGAGCCTCCAAGCCCTTCTCTCCCCTCAGTCAGATGGAGCCCTGTTGCTCCACCCCGAGGTCTCACATAGCACTGGCTAAGATTCACATCACACTCCACATACGGGTCACTCAACAGCCTCCTGAGGAAGGAGACGCTGTTATTCGCATTTTACAGAAGGGGAAACTGAAGCTCTGAGAGGTTAAGTAATCTGAAGCCACACAGCCGGGAAGTGGGGGCCAGGACTCTGCCTGGACTGTCTACAACATCTTCTGGAAAGGGGCCAAAGGAAAGGGCACACCTCCCAGAGCCACCTCCCAGCTGGGCCTCCCCTCCCAGCCTTGGTTTCCCCATCTGGCAGAGAAGGGCTGTGAGGCCGAGCGCGTCGAGCCCAGCAGACGGACCACCGCCTGCTTGTGCCTTCTCCTAGCAGCCCCGCGGGGTAGCTGTGAACCATGGTCATGTGCGGTGTGCCCCTGAACCCCAATTCTTGGCCTTCCTATTGTTCTTGGAGGCCCTTGTTCACTTTTCTGTTGAACCAAACACGTGGCATGGCCTCTCCCGTCCCCACACCAGGCCCCAGAGCCCCAGCAGCTGGGCTGGGCTGGCTTATCACCGAGTATGAGAGGGAACCACAGCGCCTGGACCCAGAGCCAGGAGAGCGAGCCTCGGGCTTTGGCAGAGGAACAAGGGCCTTTCACAAGTTTCGGTTTGGCCAGGCAGGAGTGTCATACCTGGAGGCAGCCCTCGCCGGGCCAGCCAGAACCCTCCCCGGGCACCGATGCGCATCCCTCCATTCACCCTTGCTATTAGGTGCCCTCCACCGAGTGGTACGTGGAAGCCCCTTAGAATCCCACAGCCCCGAAGTAAGTGCATGAAGATTGCTCCCATTCTACAGAGGAGGGACGGAGGCCCAGGGAGGGACAGTGGCCAGGCCAGGGTCACACAGCCTGTCAGCAGCAGCCCACAGCCATCTCCACTCCACCCCTTTGCCCCTGGCTGGCCTGGGAGAGGTTTCCTGTGGGCGGCGGAGCCACCGTGAGCCAGCTGGTCTGTGGGCCGGTGTCTGATCACAAACCGCTCCGACCGGCTGGGGGGGGCCAAGGCAAAACCGCAACCACACGCTG